CGGCAGCCGGTGTCGAAATATATACAGTATGTCCAATCATTCCAATACATCTCAAACCTAACCTATGCTAGGTTTAGATTCCCAGGTATCGCTGCATCCTTGTTGTTTACCAAACGTTAAACAAGGATGACATGATACGGCAGGAATGAATACGCCCCTACATATTAAGACTAGGGAATTTGAAAAATAAAGCCTGTTTTTATGACTTGTATATCTTAAAAAAAAAAAAAAAAAAAAAAAAAATGAAATAATATATGTTCGACATTTAACTAAAATAAAAAGAAAGGTCTAATGGCAGGAATAAAAAACAAGACCCACTCTTGAACGCAAAAAATATCACGAGACTAGCGTGATTTAACGTGACAATGTAAGGGATTTGTTTTTTATACAATTGAGCGATTAACTTCCCATCTCTTCTCTTTCTCTTTCCAACATTCAATTATACGTCTATTTCACTTTAAATACGTAAAGTGTAATGCGTTATCTACAATATGCAGAATAAGTTGATGTAAGAAGTAAGAACAAGAAGTTGACCAATCACAGCTGAATGTGAGAGAAATAATCGACTGTGATCGGTCAGTTTCTGACTTAAGTACTTCTTATAGGTCTTATATGAAACTTACGTCTCCGCATATTGCAGACGACGCATGACAATAAAACGCAGCTACGAAAAACAAAGAGCTTGTCACCGTGGGTCAGCTGTTCGCCAGCTGATCGCCGCGTACACGTGATTGCTCGGGATTACTTGCGAGAATTATTAATCATTGTTTAATTGCAACTCATTTTCGCACGGGCCGATATCGATGCACAACGTGATGAAGTCTTTCCGCGAAGCCCTCGCAAACGCCAGCAACATCTTGATCCTCACCGGCAGCGGGATCTCTGCCGAATCCGGAGTACCGACTTTTCGGGGTGCTGGTGGTTTTTGGCGTAAATACCAGGCGCCGAGTCTGGCGACGCCGGAGGCTTTCGCGGCGAATCCTTCACTAGTCTGGGAGTTCTATGAATATCGTAGGCAGTTAGCGAGTAAGGTCAAACCAAATAAGGTAATTCAATGAATAAAAATGTTAGAAAAATAAATATCAACATTACAAAAGCTTTCCTTTCATCATAATATTCTTGTTTATTTTTAATGAGTTTTATGAGTCTGGAAAACAATAATAAAATGTATTATTCTTGTCCTTTCTTTTGAATTCTTAGGCACACGAAGCTGTGGCAGATTTCCAGAAGCGCAAAATAGCGGAGGGTAAAAGGGTGTCGATCGTCACGCAAAACATAGATGATCTGCATCAAAAAGCCGGGGCAACAGATGTACTGGAACTACATGGTTCACTTTATAGAACACGCTGCACCAAGTGTCGCAACGTTGCTGTTAACGAGAACATTCCCATCTGCCCGGCACTAGCAGGAAAAGGGTACGTATAAATTCTGTAATATAATCGCAAATAACGTAATGCTAGACAAAACCATCTTCTCGTCGATCTGATGATAATGTATGTAAGCAGATCTCCTGATCCGAATATTATGTCTTCTGATATTCCAATAAAAGAATTACCACATTGCGAAATCAAAGATTGTGAAGCGTTACTGCGACCTGACATTATATGGTTCGGAGAACAGTTGGATGCAAACGTACTGGAGAAAGCCTGTGCGTAATTTTATTTAATAAAAACGTAACTGTACATTTAAAATATAATAAAATAAAATTCTACTCAAATAAAATATCGTATAAAATGAGCAAAAGAAAGCGGAGTCTTTGATTAAAAACATCGCGATAATGTATGTGTAAAAAGGTATATACATCAATACAAGAAAACTAAAATGTTTATCATTCACAAATTTTTTTAAACCGCAGATGACATTGTGGAAACGTGTGACGCTTGCCTGGTTATTGGAACCTCTGCAATCGTATATCCAGCTGCTATGTTTGCACCGCAAGTCGCGCAACGTAATGTACCGGTTGCAGAGTTCAATATAGAGGAACCCCCAGCCACAAAACAATTGCAGTGAGTATAGAAACTCCTTTGTCAACAAAATTTCTTTTATCATTTAAAAATTTAAGGAAGTTCTCTAAAATAATTAAAGTTTCTACAGTTTAAAGATAAAAAATCTATAGATCTATATAAATAGATATCACAATAGCTTGATAATATAAAATATATTGTCTTTATCTTTTTCATGCATGCATAAAATATCTGTATAATCATTTATGGAAAGTTACACAGCTTCCTCATGCTTTCGTTTACGCCCTCGAGAATGACTCGCATTTGACTGTAATAAAAAAAAGAATATGTTACATTGCATATTACATTTGTTTTTTTGTTTTTTTTATTCCTGTGCACTAGACTAGATCTTTCTTTCTCGCTTTCGCCAAATATCAAATATATACCTATTTCGTTCTAAATTCCAAATATGTACATTAATTTAGCTACAGAAAACAGATCTATCACATTAAATCATGAGTCAATAATTTTTTTTAAAATGAATTATTTTACAGATATCACTTCCAAGGTCCCTGTTCTATCACTGTGACAGAAGCACTGGCGCCTTAAAAAGGGTATATATAATAAAATAATTGAGCTTTTATAATATAAAAAATGATTACCTCACAGTAGCATACTTCTGTATTCAATCCAATTTTCTTTAAGTAATCCAACCATAATGTTTGTTTGGTTGATAGCGTATCATTCGGACCTTTTACTTCTACAATTTTGTACTAAAAAATATATTAAGTTATAATTTTATGAAACTTACGTTCAAATTAGAATAGAAGGTATTATTAAGATCTATTTTATGAGCTTTTTAAAATTGTACATAGAAAAAAAAGATTGACTTACCTGTTTTGTATTTATATTCCACACAAGTAAATCTGGAAAACCAGCTTTCCAGAGTGAAAAGTTGTGAATGAGTGGTTCGCATATTCCAACCACACCTTTTACGCCTAAGCAAAACACTATTTCCTGAAAAACAAGTGCGATATTTGTAATGTGTTTTATTAAAATTTATTAGTTAGCTAGTAATATATATATATATATATTTATTAATTACCTGGCAAGTATTTATTACTTACCTTGAGGCTGTTACTGTCGTCAAAAATATTGCCTTGAGAAATGGACTTGTACCTAGAATATGATTCGAATTCATTCTGCAAATGTTTGCTCAATTTTTCCGAATCGTAACTTCGAATATCTTGAAGCTTCGCGTCTATTTCTTTTTTTCTATTCTCGTAAAATTCCGACGTATACAAATCTAACGGCGCATCCTGATATGACGATACCCACGCGCCAGGAACGTTTATGTTATAAATTTCGTTCCAAAATAATATAGCGAACAGGGTAATTGGAAAGGCACCTTCACAGTGCACGCCTTTGATATATCCCTCGTTTTTGTAGTGATATAACGCCAGACTTTCAACCGAACCATATACTTGGTCTATTCCCCTGCTGATACACCAAGTGCTCTTTCCCTGTGGAGTATTCCTGGCAAGATATATAAGGTATACATATCTTAATCCCTATTTAAATAGTTTAGTTTAGTCAAAATTTCATTTATATCTTACCCGCATACTGTTCCTTCTATCGTCTTAGAATTCTGATGTGCAAGTTGCATCTCACTAAATTTAGTGTCCAACATAGTTTTAACAGAGTCTTTTGTTGTTTTTTCGATACCGGATTTTCTTTTATCAATTTTTTTTGCTCTGTCCCACAGATCGTATTTATCAACTTTTGTCAGGTTCTCACATAACATTGCTTTTGATAAGAACATGAAACTAGCTTCAAAATCTCTCCTATGAAACATTTCTATCTTAATTAATTCACTGTACCATTGACCTTTTCTATGTTTCATATGACAATTCTGCTCTATTAATATTCGCAAAAATTTTATCGCCTGTGACATCGTTTCCTTGGATTTTTTAAATGCGTTGATGCTTTTCGACAAGACTTTGAGCCATATGTAACCTGGCATAAAGTGTCTAATGTGATGAGGCAGATTAGAATCTTGAAAACTGAAAATAGACGCAGTATAAAATAAATTTACTTTACAATGACCTCATTTTAAATAAGTATATTCCGTCAATTTTTCTTACCTTTTCGACTCTACTTCTAAGAAGAGTGGTAAACGTTGCGCAGCTAAAGTTCCAAGATTCCGTACGGTATCCCATTGTTTTTTTTCATTTGCAGCTAATATATTAGTTAACGCATTTTTAGCTTCAATATAACTGTAAGATATATATAAGATTCAAATTAAAATAAGGTTCAAAAGTGATAGAAGATGTAATGAATCATAAAGTAAGGCAATAAATTTACTCTAGCAAATGTCTTTTGCTGGCGAAGATAGGTAGGTCACTTATAGTTACTTCTGGAAACTCTAGCTCATTCGTCTCAACGTTCCATAACGTTTGAAATACATTCACAAACGTCTCATCAGGATTTCGATTAGGTATCAGCAACGTAATTATTCTATCAACCAATTCTTTTACTTTGTCGTTCAATAATATGCAATTCCCCAAAAGCTTATTGACCGACGCGCGTAGTTTAGTGGCAGGAGTCATCATTCCAGGAAATAATGATTTCGTTTTGCGGAATGCCAAAATTGATTGTATACTCAATCTTTTTCCACGAACACCGATCTTTAATTCCCGACGAATCTTGCTAACTTCACCGGCGTGCAGCAAGTTCAGCAAAACTTCTATGTCTTCTTCATCCGTGTTATTTTTAAACATAGATCGTGATACAAGCTCATCAAAGATGGGCTTCAAATCATTGGATATCTCATCGTATTTAATATTGCTTATCCTGTGCCACATATGCTTCCTTTTCAGCATACGTATCAGTAACGCTTGTGCATTTCTTCGAAGAGTGATCATCGAAAATACGAAATCCAGTTCGTCCTGATCGAAATATCCGCAATTGATTGGCTTAGAGAATACAGTAACAATAATTAGGAAGAAAAGTAGCGAATTCTTATCCGTAGGTACAACTACATCGTTAATTTCGTATTTTGTCGAAACTGTAGTGTCTATGGAATTGTATTTGTAGTTAAATCTCTTACTCGAGTAAACCTTTTCCAGATCAATGTCATTGTTAGCAATGGCTCCTTCTTTGGCTAAATTTAAATTACTTATTGTTGCAGATTTCAGTTCCTCAATTCTATCTTTAAACAATTTCCTTTGCGCTATCATTGGAGATGGTGACTTGTTTAGAGCATTTTTTATTGGTGACGATGTCTTTGGTGTAAACTTTGTACCACTGCGTGATACAGTACGTTGTGGACTTTCAACATGTATTATATCAGAAGAATGTTCAGTGGTTGGTGACATTATTATTTTATTTTTTATTATTTTAGTTGGACTATTTTCGATTCTATTTTCGGATAATTTAGTTGGACTGTACTTGGCTTTATCCATGAACAGTTTCCTTCGTGGTATCTTTGCGGGTGGTGATTTGTTTCCCACGTTTTTTGTTGGAAATATCTTGGGAGTGAACATGATGGACTTTATACCATTATATGAGACAGTACGTTGTTGACTTCTAACATATATTATATCGGGAGAATTATGTTTAATGGTTGGTGACATTACTGTCATATTTTCTGTAGTTTTAATTGGACTGTTATTCGTATTAGCCTTGAAAGGAGATGCCCCACTGCCGAATGAGACATTATCATGCATTCTGATTTGTTTTTCGTTTATTTTATATGGGTTTTGCTTGTTCTTATGTACAGGGGTTTTTGAATTGCCTGATACTCTTCTACCTTTCTGTATAATAAGGAAAAAATAAATTCAATATATTATTAATATTCAAATTGTTACAATGTTCATTAGACAACTAATGACAATTATAACTTACCGTCCTTCCAATAACTGGGCTTTTAGATTTCGCATTAGATGACTTTTTGATGTTGCGATTTACACTTTCAAATTTCTTGTTCCTGCTTGTAACTTTATAATACTGATCTATTCTGGTTTGTGCCATCATTAGAGGAAAAATGTTCAGCTTAAAGTCAAACCATCTCTATGGTCTGCTGACAAACTAATGTAAATTATACTATTTACGTCATGCTGATGCCTCACTGGAATAAACAAGAGACCCAAGCGCAGACACGATTGCAAGCACGTTCTTGGACACCTGAAGGAACGAACGGAGGGTCACTCTGCATCAACCATTTCTCTCAATCCTTTTTTATTTCGTTCGTACATTATCCTATCCTTAAAAGTAGAACTTAATTTAAACCATAGCGTATCGACCAAGGAAATTACAGTATTTACACAGTCCATACAAATCACCGGCGGATACAAGTGTGTCGTTTGTCTAAGCCATACAGATCCAGAATGTGGATCGTGTCGCGACGAAATCTAAGTATCGACGGCGTTTTAATACTCTGTCTCTTGCAACTCTTCCCGTAAGTTTAAAAACTACTGAAGGACGTCCGGGGGTATGTAAAGCCTAGCGAAACGGTAAGTTTCGTCATCCTCGCCTTACCTTAAAGATAAAGATCCAGAAGTCGCGCGTACGCCGTAGGAAAGACTAAAGGGATTGCGAATCTGCGAGACGTGTCTCGATGTCGAAAACACCTGTATAGAATCAATTACGAACTCGGCGAGCGGGTATGTGTAGGTATATATATGTGTCACGTTGTCGCGTCGGGTCGGATCCGTTGGGATCCATCAGATAAGGTTAGACTCGCTCTTCCGCGCAGACGCGCGTATCTCGCTTGGCGGGAAACAAAGGCAGCAAAATGTAAACGGAATTTCCCGGCAGGAAAATCCCAGAGATTGAGTAATGACTCAGCACTTTCGCGATGATTACGTTATCCAATAGACATAAAGTTTATGACGAATTTGGTCACTTGGATTACTTTTGGAGAGTACATATTAAAGTATCTAAATACAGCGACAAAATGAACTTTGACAACAAATAATGTTAAGTATATTATTCTGTTGAATGACATGACAATATAATTATTAGATATTTAATAAATTTATTTATAAACTTATTTAATTTAAATAATTTTTAAGTTCACGTATAACACTAATACTAACTTTTAGTATGCACTAATTTAGTAATACCAGTGACTGCATTCACTATTACGCATTTATAGACGTAAGTTTATAAATGTGTAACAAAAATAAAATGTCAATTGAACATAAAAACGCACGTTTTAAGAAATCCTGTTATCTCTTACAAGAAAATATACATTCTACCACGTTTATACGGAAAAAAAAAATAATTTTGTGAGAAAAAATTTGTCTTATATTCAAATTTAACAAAGTTAAAGCTAAATTAATCCTGAAGAGGTAAGCTTTAAAAAAACATAGAAAAGAAAGATTGTTTAGTAGCCAGCGTAATCGGAATTTATTTTGACAGGATTTTTATCGTTTGTTGTATCAAATGTAATTTTCTCAAAACGTAAGAACGACGTTTTATCTATTTTTCTCTCGTTCAACAAATACAAAGAAACGGGATTCGTGACGCGCTTTTTAAAAGTGACGTCTTGTGCGTGACGAACGCAAACGAAATGGATGCAATCAAATTTTAGGTTTGTATCAATTGCATTCGACTCGCCGAGTTGCTCA